ACCTGATCCCTTCGACACCTCGTGGTTGCATAGGCTGGTGTGCTTCTTCCATGTGGGCTTTGTTGCTTCTGAGCTTGATGGCCGCTTAATTACCTTCTTAAGCCTACTGCTGCTCCCAAATAGCCTGGCCTTGGGTGGCCAGGGATGTTCAGGATAGATAAGGATGAAGTCTGATCCAACTCAGAGTGGTTACGATCTGAGAGAGTTTTCACCCCAAAAGTGGTCATGGTGGTGAGGGATGGAAATGTGGGAACTGGATTTATACTGACCCTTGTCATAAACTTAGTGATAAAGGTTGGATGTGCACATTTGCCTCACTTATAGTGTAGTTGGAAGCGTAATCCTGCTATCCACCCATCCTCTCCCCTTCTTTTTACTTGTTGTGGTAGTTACATAATGTGTTGTCAATTTAAGACTCTTAAGAGTGAAGGGGTGGAGTTTAGCCTGTCAATCAGGCCACAGCTTGATGACCTCATTTGGAGGTGCTAATGAGATAAATAGCACACTGGAGGCAAGACACACATCCACTCCCTGCGAGATATTCCTGATGACAAGACACATGGAGCTATGCTAGAGCCCTGGAGCTGGAGAAGCCACGTAGAAATCCACACCAGCACTGATATGCTTACACCGCCACTGCATCCACAAGAGTTGCCACACACTGGTCTTCCTGAATTTGGCGTCATTGCATGTGTTTCTTGAGTCTAAAGAGGATTTTATACATTGGTATCAGACATATGGGCTAATATCAGATTTATGGGCCTGATCTGGACTGGGCTGAGATACTTCCTCAATATTCAATTGCCCTTGTATATAAAGCTCTTTCTTATACACATGAATGTCTATGAATTTGTGTCTCTAGTCTACCCAGATTAACACACTTGTCTTTTAGGTAGCATTGAGAATCTCAGTGTCTCCCTATATGAGTGCTGCTACTAGCATCAACATTTCTGTGGGCGGTACTTCCATCTTCCATGTTGTACCATTCCCTGTCCTAGCAGGAAGCCTTCACTGAATTGATGTTTGAAATAATTCATCTGGTTAATGTTTGGGGAATCAAAGAGAAAGAGATTAAATCTAAAATATGAATTAATTTCTCATGCATTTTGAAGATGCTAAGCAAATCCAGGAATTAATTTGTAACATTATAAAGAGTAAAGTGAATAAGGAAAACCAAGAATTGAATACTCTTGACATTGCCTACACCCCACCCCTGATTTCATGATTCCAATGATTTTACTGTGTGGTTGTTCCATATTTTCATGTCAAGCCCTGTGCCTAAGCCATGCCGTCTTATTGTAGAACCAAACTCCAAAACCAAAACAATACAATGTTTTCCATCTATTTTAAAAATAACAAAATATTTCTTCTTAAACCTAATGAACAGCAATAAATAAATGTGTGGTCCGGCACAGTTATAAGGTTATATTCTCTACAAAACACATCTTCTAATAAGATAACATTTGAAAAAAACACCCACATATACATAATTGGATGCAAGATTGATAAACAGATATATACATAGATATATGTGTGTCAGTACAGGAAAAGGAGTTCAAAAATTTGTGGAAAACTGGGATAGAAAAATAATGGAATTTTTTCACAAACTTTTTTCAGCCCTTTGTGTGTGTGTGTGTGTGTGTGTATCAAAATGCTTATGGGAAAATTCTATTATTTCATGAACATTTTCAGGGACACACACACACACACAAACACACACACACACACACACACACACACACACACGGTGCCATTGGCAGGTAAGCAGACCAGTAACCACAACGTTGGCAGCTTAACCAGCTGCCCTGCAGAATAAAGTTGAGACTATCGGCTATTGTAAAGGAAAACTGGAAATCCTGTGTAAGGTAACTATGAATTAGAATCCACTTGATGGCAGTGGGTTTGTATTTTGGATAGGTATGTACCTACCTACCTACATATATATTTATGCTTTATTGATTATGTAAAAACATTCAAAGGATATATACATACATATGTATATATTTGATTATATTTTATTAACTATGTAAACTCATTCATAGCAAACTAGGAATAACATTGAGAAGAATGGGAATTCCAGAACGCTTCATAATGTTCATCAAAACCTATAATTTAGAAGCAATTGTTCAAACAGCACAAGGGAATACTGTATGATTTAAAAATCAGAAAAAATGTGTGTCAGGATGGCATCTTCTCACCATTTAATTCAATCTGTATGCTGAACAGACAATCCAAGAAGCTGGACCATATGACAAATAACTTGGTAACAAAACTGGAGGAAGGCTTATTATTAACAACATTCGATATGCGGACATCACAATTTTGCTTGTTGAAAATGAGGACATGAAGCCCTTGCTGATGAAAATCAAAGACTACAGCCTTCAGTATGGATTGCAAAACAATGTAAAGAAAACCAAAATCCTCAGAATTGGATGAATACATAAGATCATGATAAAATGAAGAAAAGACTGAAATTTCCAAAGATTTCTTCTTTGCTTGGATCCAGAATCAGTGTTTGTGGAAGCAGCAATCCAGAAACCAAACCAAACAAGGTATTTCATTGGGCAAACCTGCTGCAAAAGACCTCTTTGCAATATGAAGGAGCCAAGGTTTCACTTTGAAGACTAAAATGTTCCTGGCCCTACCATGGTATTTTCAGCCACAGCATACACATATGAAAGTTGGGTAATGAATAAGGAAGAGCTAAGCAGATTTGATACATTTGAGTTATGGTGCTGGTTGGCAGGGGTGGGGGGCTATTGAAAGTACAATGCACTGCCAAAAGAACAAAAAAATGTGTCTTCGAAAAAGTACAACCAGAATGCTCCTTAGATTCAAGGATAGGAGACTTTCTCTTACATCATTTGGGCATTTTATCAGCAAAGACCAGTCCCTGGAGAAGGGACAGCATGCTTGGCAAAGTAGAA